AGGCAAGAGAAATGGGTGTGAAATGTATGGGTTGTATTTCTCCCTACTGTGTTTTAGAATATGGTATTTCTCTCTCTGTTAAGACTCAAATCAAGCTCATGCAAATGCATGGAAATACATAAATAAATCTGAACATTGATGGAGAAATAATGTTGTAGAAATATATTACTCATCATCATGAATACATGCAAGTGGATTAACTTACTAACACAACAAGCAATGTCTAACTAACTTGACTAATCAACTAATTACTTGATAAATAACTAAAACTTAGTTAGAATATATTTAAAGTATCTTATGTGTTATTTAGATTTCATCCATCTCTTAATTATCTTTAATAACCCCGCTCAAGCTAGAATGTATGTCAATTATTCCTAACTTGGCTTGGAGAATGTAGAAAGGACCCGTGTGCAATGATTTGGTGAGAATGTCGGCGACTTGTTCTTTTGATGTGGCAGGCATGTGATAAACAATTCTTACTAGGACTTTATCGCGCACCACATGACAATTAATCTTGATATATTTGGTTCTTTCATGGAATACCGGGTTGGCAACTATATGCATGGCAGATTTGTTATCACAGTAGATAATGATTGGGGAATGATGTGGAATGTTGAAGTTGTTAAGTAGAGATAGAAGCCAAATACCTTCACAAGTAGCATGTGCTAATGCTCGATATTCAGCTTCCGATGAAGATCAAGATACAACAACTTGTTTCTTTCTTTTCCATTTGATGAGAGATTTCCCAAGGAAGAAACAAATACCAGTAGTGGATCTATGTGTATCTGGGCAAGCTCTCTAGTCTGAGTCAGAAAATTCCTTGAAACATAAAGTGGAAGATGAGTTAAAGAATAATCCTTGGCCATGATTATGTTTGAGAAAATGTAAGACATGAAGGCCAGCTAGCATATGTTTAGCTATAGGAGCATAGAGGAATTGACTTAGTTTTCTTACTGCATAAGCAATCACAATGAGTAAGGTTGGGGACTCTACTAATGAGTCTGCGATAGGGAGTGGATTCAAAAAGAGGAGTATCATATACCTTGTGGAGTTGTAAGTGAGGTTGCATAGGTGTATTGAAGGGCTTGGCACCAAGGAGTCATGCATCTTGTATTATATCCAAGGCATATTTCCTTTCACAAAGTGAGATACCTTGAACATTTCGAGCAACTTCAAATCCTAGAAAGTATTTCAAAACTCCTAGGTCTTTGATACTTAATTTGGCATTGTGGAGTGCTCTCAGCTGAGTTATCTCTGCAAGATCAATTCCACCTAGAACTAAATCATCCACATAAACAAGTATGACTGTGAAACCTGCTGAGGAATTCTTGGTAAATAGAGAATAGTCAACCTTTGGTTGGATGTAACTAGTGAAAATGAGAGTATCTGTAAGTTTGGTATTCCGTTGTCGACTTGCCTGCTTTAGTTCATACAGTGACCTTTGCAATTTTCATACAAGATTAGAACATGGTAAATCCATACCAGAAGGGGCTCTCATGTAAACTTCTTCATTGAGGTCTCCATGAAGAAATGTTGTATTGACATCTAGTTGAAATAGTGGCCAATCATGAATTGTAGCAATGACTATTAGCACCTGAAATGTAGTTGTTTTAGTCGCATGGCTGATTGTGTCCATGTAATCTAATCCTTCAATTTTTGTGAAACCTTTGGCAACTAAATATGCCTTGTACCTCTCAATAGTTCCATTGGCATGCATTTTCAGCTTACAAACCCATTTGCATCCAATGGATTTCCTGTGAGAAGGTAAAGGTACAAGAGACCAAGTATTACTTTTAATCAAAGCATTCAACTCAATTTGAATAACACCTTTCCAGTTGACATCACAAATAGATGACTCATATGATTGAGTTTTAGTTATGGCAGAGAGATTCAAAGTGAAATGTTTGCGTGTAGGAGATAATGCATCATATGATAAGAAGGATGATAGAGGATACTTACATTGGGAAGATGAATTGGGAAAAACTACCTATTAAATGGGGATTGTATTTTAGATGAGATTACAATGGTAATCTTGGAGATAGGTAGGAGGTTTAGTTTGTCTGGAAGACTTTCTGATAGGTAATGGAACTTGACAATTAGTATTATTATCACGAGCATTATTATTTAAATTATATGGTTGCGTAGGCATTAAGGTGTGTGAAGAAGCATAATGAGGAATAAGATTAGGACTAGAAGGCGAATTACTATGAGAAGTGTGTGTGTTTAGGGGATCTAAGATATCATCAAAATAAGTATGGTTGTGGGTTTGAGGCTCAGATTGATTAGGATCAATGGAAGATTGTTTATATGAAAAGTGGTGTTCAAAAAAGGAGACGTCTCTTAACACAAATAATTCCTTATAGTGCAAGTCAAAGAGTGTGACCTTTGGTGCCAGGATTATAACCTAAATATATGCACTTTCTAGATCTAGAGTCTAACTTATTTCTTTGCGATTTTAAGGTGGAAGCAAAACATAATGAGCCAAAAACTTTGAAGTTTGTGAGGTCAGGTAATTTATTGTACAAGATTTGGTAAGGTGACTTATGCTTTAAGAAAACAATAAGCAATCTATTAATGATGTGAACTGCACGCCAATAGCATGAGACCAAAAATTATGAGGTAATTTTGATTGAAATAGGATGGCTTGAGTGATACCTAGAATATATTGGTGCTTCCTTACAACAATACCATTTTGCTGAGGAGTACCAACACAAGATGTTTGATGGATAATGCCAAATTTTTTGTTAAAAACTGTAAGAGTGAATTCATATCCATTATCAGGTCTAATGCATTTAATGGTTATGTGAAACTGAGTTTGGATCATTAATACAAAAGATTTAATGAGAGATGATACTTCAGATTTCAATTTCATGAGAAATAACCAAGTGAATCTAGTCTTATCATTCACAATAGTAAGAAAGTATATATATATATCCCATCATAGATGGAGTATATATGGGATCCCAAATATGTGTATGCACAAAGTCAAATGCAGAATTGGAAACATGATAACTGGGAGAAATTGGGAGTCTACTTTGTTTAGCATAAAAACATACATCACATGGAATAGAAGAAGGTACGTATTTGATAAAGGTAAAATGTTTATGTAATTGAAGCAATTTTGTGTTAGATGGATGACCAAGTCTTAAGTTTCAAAGATTACAATTATGAGTTGTGTCTAAAGATTGATCATGTAAAGTATTTATGGAATGAGTAGATGGAGTTTAATACAAGGTAACTAAAGGAGAATCTAAAATACACAATCCAACATTCAGTCTAGGTGTTCCAATCATCTTCTTGAAGTGAGTATCTTGTATCATGCAATCACTATCATTAAACATCAATTGTCACTTCAAATTTTTGGTTAGCTTGGGAGAAGAAATGAGGATAAAGGAAAAATGAGGCATATATAATACATCGGGGATATATAAGCATTTGTTAAAGTGTACGGTGCCTGCATAATTAGTGATGACAAGAACTCCATTTGACAGTTTGATGTTTATGAGATTGATCTGTTTGATGCATTGAAAGAAAGTTTTTATATGAAGATATGGTTTGTTGCACCAATATCAAGGATAAAATTCTCAAGTTTATGAGAGTTTTGAATGGTGCATATGATACATAATTTATTGTCAAGTTGTCAGATGGTTGATGAGGAGGTTCCTTGGAGAAGAGCTAACAAGGTGGAAAAGAAAACTAAACAAAAATGAGGAAGAACAAATTGGAAAAGGGTAGGAAACAAGGTTGATGGGATGAGTTAAACGAGTGCAACAGTGGAAGCTTGATCACAGGTCGATAATACCATGTTAAAACTCAAATTAAACTCGTGCAAATGTTTGCAAATACAAAAAGAAAACTGAACATTCATGAAAAAGAAAAGTTGCAGAAGTATATTACTCTTCATCATGCATACATGCAAGTGGATTAGCTTACTAATACAACAAATAATATCTAACTAACTTGACTAATCAACCAACTACTTAATAATTAAATTTCATCCATCTCTTCATTATCTTTAACACTCTCTTTAACAACATTTCACCATGTTTACTTAATGATGTAATTGATTGAGAAATTGTAATCAATAATATCAGTTTCCCTTTCAATTTCCTGCATTTTAATACATTGGACTAGGATATTTGTAAGGTTCTTTAATTTTGCAATCGTTTTCCTACAAATGAAATGATATTGGAATAAAAAAAATTTTAATTAAGTTTAGGTATATTGTAGGGTCTAATATGACTCATTTTAGAGTTTTTAATAATTTTATGAATATCTAAAAAATATAGACAAATTATTTAAATTATTAAAAAATATATATTTTATGAATTAAAATAGGTTATTTGCACGTGAATAGTATGAAAATATAGTTTCCATTTGTCCATTCATATAAAGCTGCATGGATTAATGAGTTGATGACTCCTCAAGTACGTAGGGCACACACTCTTGGCCCCACATTTTACCCTGCAAAAAATTATTTTCTCTCTACATCATGCAAAATATTGTACTAATATCCTATTGATTTTTTTTACTATTATCTATCTAATTTATTTATAATATATATATTTTTTTATCCAATTTAAAAAATTAGAACGACTTTTATTTTCGACAAAATAACGAAAAGTAATAATTCTGTCCAAAAAAAGTGTAGTAATAATAATAATAAAAAATGAAACCGGGAAAGAAACGAAAATAGCAAATAGAAAATAGAAAGTAACAGAAGACCAAGAACAGAGTGTCATTAATATTCAGTTCCGGCGACTACTTTTTTTTTCCTCTCATTCTTCTCCTTCATAGTTCATACCCATCTCCATAATTCGGTAAAGTTCTCACCTTTTCTTCTTTTTCTCTCTCTCACCCCCTTTTTAATTTTGTGCCCCCTTTTTAATAATAACTGTTTTTTTTTGTGTACTTGCTGACTTTAATGGTGTAGCTTGTAGGTTATGAAGTTGTTGTGTTTGTGGTGAGAGGAGAAGATTTTTTCATAGGCTTTTGTTGTGATGATGGCACAAAACTTAACGGGGCAGCTTGTTGGTTCAGAGATACATGGCTTCCACACTTTGAGTGGTACAAAAAAAATTATGGTTCTTCTTAGGATTATGCTCATAATTAGGTTGTTCTTTGGTTTTATTTATTTAATTGAAACTAATTAGGTTGTTTTAGCTCATAAAGATGCAAGTGTTAGGAGTGAAAAAGGGGTATCATGTATCATGATGATTCATGAAAACTCTTCTATGTTTTGTGTTTTTTTCCTTATGTTAGAAGACACTTTTTCCTTGTTCATTGATAGACTTGGTTTTAATTGGATTGAGTTTTAACTTAGGGGAGTTTGTTAGTTAAAATAATCACTTGCTTCTTCATTTAGAAGAAAAAAAAGGCTTTTTGTAACTTTAACTTTTGGCTTAAATGGTAGAGAAACTTGTATTTTTGAAGACTTTTCTTATTGCTACTATTAGGAGTGGTAATGTTGATCATCTATGTTAATTTGTTGTTCTGAAGTTTTTTTTTTTGTATATGGCTCGGATCAGATCTTGATGTTGGAGATACCTTGGAGGAAGCTAAAAGCAGATGGCTTCGACCAAATGAGATTCATGCCATTCTCAGCAATTACAAATATTTTACTATCCATGTCAAGCCATTGAATTTGCCCAAAAGTAAATTGCTTTCCGAAGTAACTTGACGCTTTTTGATTAGATTCGCATTTCCATATATATACTATAAAATATGGTCAATCATGTTTATTTGTGTCTGTTTCAACTTCTATTTCTTAATTTGCATCAAACATTTTGATTTTCTTGCGTCCTACTCCAAAGCATTTAGTTTGCATACTTCTAGACTCTTCAGTTCTGATTGAACCTTTTCTCTACAAATAGTAAATAAAAAGTGAAATAGAATAAGTGCATATGCATATTTATGCTTTGTTCATCTGCACATGTAAGGAATATAATGTCTCCGATTGATTTCTGGCATTATTTGTTTGAAAAAATCTAAAATATAATTTTGATTAAATGGTTACTTTGCATCTAAATGACACGTGTTCGCATTATTATGGAGTATATGATGTCAAACAGGATTTGAGTTGCCAATGCTAATTATACCGTGATTGTGTTTAAAACAGGCGGTACTGTTGTACTATTTGACCGCAAGATGCTTAGGAACTTCCGAAAAGATGGGCACAACTGGAAAAAGAAAAATGATGGGAAAACTGTTAAAGAAGCTCATGAGCACTTAAAAGTCAGGATTTTAATTTTCTTAGCTGTTTATTTGATGTTTTGTCAAAAGATTACACGTTATTTTCTACTGTAATCTTTTTCTTCCTAAATTTTTTGTTATACTTGATTCTAATGTTAGTTTGAGTTACTATAGATAGCCTAATGCATCTGATTGTTGACATATTTTCTGTTCATTCTTACTTCCCCCTATCAATTAGGTTGGTAATGAAGAGAGGATCCACGTATATTATGCACATGGCCAAGATTGCCCGAGCTTTGTTCGAAGATGTTATTGGCTGCTTGATAAGTATGTATATCTATGTTTATCTTAACCCTTATGGTCTCAATTCCTATATATCATGTATGCATGTTCGTATTTGTGATCTAGGAATTAGTGGTGGTGTTTTTATACTTCTCGCTTTATTTGCCTTCTTCTATTAAGAAAATAAAACGAAGTCGGCAAATAGTCAGGCGACTTACGATTGTTGTTGTTTTCTTTCAGGAGTCTGGAGCACATAGTCCTTGTTCATTACCGTGAGACACAAGAGGTCGTGTTAATCATTTTCTTTCTTCCTTTTCCTCTTAAAAGTTTAACTCGGCCGGACAAATAATGATGTGCGTTGCTTTGCCTGATAGAAAAACCCTATGCGTATTTTTGGGTTCAGTGATGCATTGTTTATAGCCTTGTTGTGCTTAAGGGTATCCCAAGTCTAGAAAAACTCTGTTGAAAGTGAATTCATCTCTAAAACGAGCAAGTATATCCATTTTTGTATTTTCATGGATTGAAATCACAATGAAATTTAAACAAAAATAGCCGTTCATGCTCACTTTAGAGGAGCCTTGTCTTCCAAGTCCCATGGTGGTTGATGGATGTGTGTGATTGATGCATGTGATCTATTTATTGAATAAAATTTGGCTTGCTGACGTTCGTTAGGTTGTGAATTGATACAGTCTCAAGGCTCTCCTATTACACCGGCAAGTTCATTAGGCTGCGGATTGACACAGTCTCAAAACTCTCCTTATACACCGGTAAATTCAAATTCGAGCTCTATTTCTGATCCAACTACGTCGTGGATTCCATCAGAAGACTTAGATTCTGGAACCAATAGTGCTTTTACTAATGGTGAGAAATGATATCTAGATAATTGTTGTTTTATTTTGTTATTGTTGTCATAGATACTGTTGTTTTCTTTCCATGACTAAATAGAAATTCGACAGGTGGAAGTCTTGAACAGAAGCTCCATGAGATCAATACACTTGATTGGGATGACCTAGTGGCTTCTCATGTTAATACCACTACTATACCTAATGGAGGAGGTAATTGTTTGTGCAAATGTGCTTTATTAGAACCAGTAGCTTGTTGAGAAAGAACATTACAATTTAATACTTTAATTTAAAATTTGGCAGGAAACGAACCACATTTCTATCAACAAAATCAAATCTTAATGAATGGAAGTGTTATCAATGTAAGATAATTTTTCCTTTCATTTGTGTTGTTATCTATTCTGCTCTATGTTGAGCTATCTCATTTCATTTATGTTTTGTGGATGGTGTTATGGTGCCACTAACCTATAGAGTTTTTATGGCCAGGTTGCTGGTAGTCCTTCTGCAGAAGAATGTGTTAACCCTCAGAAGAATCATGCGATCACTTTGGGCTGTGGTGATATCATGGAGGACACTTTAGTCAATGAAGGCTTGCAAAGTCAGAACAGCTTTGGAGTATGGATGAATAATGCCATATCTGATATACCATGTTCTGCAGAGGCATCAGCTCTTGAATCATCAATTGCTTCATCTGGTCATGATTCGTTTTCATCCCTGCCGATAGACAATAATCAGCAACCTTCACTTCCAGAACAAGTGTTTCATCTCACTGAAGTGGCCCCTGCATGGGCTTCTTCCACTGAAAAAACAAAGGTTTCCTTTTGCTTTTTCTCATACGTGTGTTTGCTACCGTTCTTTTGTAATTATAACTGAACATTCATGTTGCTTTACTTCTTGCAGGTCCTGGTAACTGGATATTTTCACAATGATTATCAACAGTTTGCGAAGTCCAATCTAGTGTGCGTCTGTGGCGAAACAAGTGTTCCTGCAGAAATTGTTCAGGTTGGAGTTTACCGATGCTGGGTAATGCCGCATTCTCCAGGATTCGTAAATCTCTATTTGAGCTTTGATGGCCATAAGCCTATTAGCCAAGTTGTTAACTTTGAGTATCGTACTCCTATTTTGCACGACCCTACTTCTTCGATGGAAGAAACATACAACTGGATTGAATTTCGACTTCAGATGAGGCTTTCTCATTTGCTTTTTAGAACGCAAAAGACCATTGACTTTTTCTCTAGTAAAGTATCACCTACTGCACTCAAAGAGACCAAAAAATTCGCCTCCAAAACAATATTTATTTCCAAAAGTTTGCAACACTTTATGAAGTCGTCCGAGGCAAACACAAGTCCATTTCCGCAAGCAAAAAATACCTTTTTCGAAATTACGTTGAAGAACAAATTAAGGGAATGGCTTTTGGAACGAATTGTACTAGGATGTAAGACTGCGGAGTATGATGCACAAGGGCAAGGTGTGATTCATCTGTGTACACTTTTGGGATATACTTGGGCTATTACATTATTTTCATGGTCAGGCTTGTCGCTCGATTTCCGTGACAAACTTGGATGGACAGCTCTTCATTGGGCAGCATATAATGGAATGTATGATGATCAATGTGATTTTATTATTAATACTTTCTTTATATTCATTTTTTCCTTCTAATCAAGTAATAAGCCTGAACGAACATATCATTGTCTGTTGTTTGATTCGAAATTTATCTTCAGGGAGAAAATGGTTGCAACTCTGTTGTCTTGCGGGGCAAGGCCTAACTTGGTGACAGATCCAACTCCACAAAATCCCGGTGGCTGTACTGCTGCTGACCTTGCTTACATGAATGGATATGATGGTTTAGCCGCTTATCTTTCGGAAAAGTGTTTGGTTGAGCAGTTCAATGACATGAGCTTAGCTGGAAATATCAGCGGTTCACTCCAAACCGCCACAACTGATCCAGTCAATCCTGAGAACCTTACTGAGGACCAATTGTACCTAAAGGATACATTGGCAGCTTACCGAACAACAGCTGAAGCAGCAGCTCGCATACAAGCTGCGTTTAGAGAGCACTCGCTGAAATTGCGTTATAAGTCGGTTCAATTTAGCAGCCCGGAGGAGGAAGCTCGCCAAATAGTAGCAGCAATGAAGATTCAACATGCCTTTCGCAACTTTGAGACCAGGAAAACGATGGCGGCCGCTGTTCATATTCAGCATAGATTTCGTACGTGGAAGTTGCGTAAAGAATTTCTCCACATGCGACGCCAGGCTATAAAAATTCAAGTAAGAGCAGCTCTTTCCATATCTTTTATTGTTGATTCTCTATGTGATCTCTAAAGTTCTAAATATAAACAATAGAAACTAAAGCAGGTAAAATTCTTTTCCAGATCTTGAGAGACATTCAACCAACAAATTTTGTTCACTAAAAGTTGCATCTTCTTGAGTTGTTGCTACAATTTACAGAATCTTTTCTCTTCTACTAAATAATAAACATAGTCTTGAAAAGCTTGATTGCTTTTATGTTCAATGCAGGCTGCATTCAGGGGCTTTCAAGTGCGTAGGCAATATCGTAAGATTTTATGGTCTGTTGGAATTCTTGAGAAAGCAATTCTGCGTTGGCGTTTAAAGAGAAAAGGTTTCCGCGGGCTTGAGGTGAATCCTGTCGAAGACATGATAAATGAGAAGCATGAAAGCGATGTAGAAGAAGACTTCTTTAAGACTGGTAGGAAACAAGCAGAAGAACGTGTTGAGAGGTCCGTGGTACGTGTACAGGCAATGTTCCGATCAAAAAAAGCGCAACAAGAGTATAGCAGGATGAAGATGGCCCATAGTCAAGCAAAGGTGATTAAAATAAAATAAAGGATACTTTGACAACAAATATCGACAACAATTTAGATGCTTAACGCGGTTCAAATATTCGGTTAATTACGTTCAAATATTTTTTATTTACTTGTTAGAATTGTTTTGTGCAGCTGGAACTTGAATTAGAAGACCTTCTCAATTCTGATGTGGACATGTTAACAACAAAGACAGCATAGGTTCCATGAAAGGTTAATGCTTCTGGGATATGCAGTCAACTCCTTTAGACTTGTGTAATGTAACAAACTAGTGATAATTTGGTGCTCTTTTTTTGTATAGCATGTAGATTCTGTAAATTTCATAGTGTGTAATTTCAACTTATGATGACCCTTTCAAAATGCTTTAATATCTTGAAATGGGGTCATCTTTGAAACTTTCAGCTTAATTAGGTGTTTGGTGGATGCTTCTGAGGCCTTCTTTAATGTGATTAGACATAATTGTTGTCAGTACTTTTATGTTTTGATAATGTTTCAACTTTATAATGAGTGATTAATGCCTCTCCACATATACATGTGGAATGGAACGCTGGCATAATTGATTACATTCATATGGTTCCATAATCTATTCCACTTTATTCTGTTTGGAGAAACAAAATTCACAACTTTTCTAGGCATGCTATTTTCCATATTCTTATAATCATATTCTACAGTACCAAACAGTTCTCCAAATTCACTAAATTAATTATCCAACTAAGCTTTTAGTTAGTGTTGGAATTTCCACAGCTGCTTTCCAAAGCGTAAGGAATCGTTCAAGCGGACTAGTCAGATGACAGCTAATTAAGAAGTCAGTCTGTAGCGATGTCAATAGGTTTTCGTCCTTTCACCTTGCACATAACTACCTGTCTAGAAGTCGCATTTCAATTAAATAATTGTAGCCTAACAGACTAAGCTACTCCCTGCTATGAGAACTAAGTTGATTCTGACTCTATTGTTGAAGATTCCAAGGACTTAGCCTTCGACGCCTAAATTGCGGCATTTGTTTGCCTTCATTGCAACATCCAACATGTTTGTGTTAGGTTTGAAGAAGTGAATTTAGTTCCACCAGCACATTTGGTTTACCTTCGTTGCAGTCTCCAACATCTTTATTGTATTGAGTTTGAAGGGGTGAATTTAGTCTCACATTGTTTAGAGATATAACATTTGTTGTGTGGGGATTACTTTTCTGACCCTTAGGGGTTTTCTCCCTCCATCGTGAAAAGTCACAACCGTCCTTAACGTCCGAAGATTCGAACCCACATTTTTAATACACTCGTGAGGCACATTTATTTTGTCAAAATTTAATCTGGAAATGCATCTTCGTATGAATATAAGGTTTATCCAGAGATACAACTCCATAAAAATCCCTAATTTCAAATTCATTTACTTTCACGGAGTTGTCCAAAGATCCATCTCCGGGCGCTTTTATTTCACATAACTGCGCGTCAGATTCTTCCTTCTTCCTCCTTCATTTTCTGAAAAGTCACTCACTCAAAAAATTTCATTTGAGCTATTTTGCTACAAACAATTTTCAAACCCTATTTGAGGAAGTTTCATCAAGTTCACTCCATTGTACTTCATTTGCTGCAAAGAGACTCACTCCATTCAAGCTTCTCATCTACAACTTTGATTTGGCAATTTCTCATTTCATTCTTTTTTTTTGTGTTTTTATTAATGTTTTAGGTAACATAAGTTGTTTAAGCTACATTACATAGTAGTGCAATCGAAATATGGACATACATTGCCATTTGGTTGGAGGTTAGGGCAACAATGGTGTCTTTTCCATGGCTGAAATTGCGACTTCATCTGGAGATGCATCTCTGGATTATGTCTGAACTATTTTTGGAGATGTATCTTCAGATTTATACCTGACTGAATTTTGGTTGAGTTTTATATGTGACTTTCTGATTTTAACACATGCAATGGCAGAAAACAATCTTGGCATAATTAGGCTCGGACGTGTGTCTCAAACTGCGTTTGTACGACGTGATGTAACACCCTTTTTCTACCCCAAAATTTATCAAGGCAAAATAACACATAAATCATAGTGAATAAATAAATCTCATTAAAAAGCCACTAAAAGGGCGTACATTGCTCAAAGTCATCAAAATTGGTCAATACTCCGTAACGACGGGTTTTTCCCAAGGTACATCAAAACATCATAAACAGCGGAACTCAAAACATAAATCAAAGTTTTCCTCAAAACGGGAAATTAATCAAAATAACTTCAACAGTATAAAATCAACTCAAGGAACCCAACCCGATGTTACATATCAGAGCAAGACCCTCTAAGCTGACCCACAAGACTAAAACACTCAAAAACTTCAAACTAGCTCCTCGCCGGCGTCCACGGCTAAACTGGGTCATCTGCACGTTACCCACGTAGAGGTAACATTCAAACAGGCAGGGTGAGTAAGACAATTCATAATAATCAATGTATGATAATTAATGCATAAACGACAACATATTCATATTCAACACATTCATATTACTCACATATGCCTCAAAGGTCACAACATCATAATTTATACACAAAGACTCATAAATGCAATGCAACACAACTCAATGCATATGGTACCAATCATCACAACTAGATGGACATTGGGACATCAACCCTCCATAGATCACCATCAATAGGATCGGAGCACGTCAAAATACTTCACATCCACACAATGGGATTGAAGTCAAAGCAATTGAGGTTCTGAACCGAAGTTCGGATGTACATGAATGCATGATGCATATGTCACAATAATAATCCTCACAATACAGCATATGGTGCATCATCATTCATCATACTCATCATCAGCACTTAAAATCATCACATCTCATGTTATCACATAGTTCATCAAATCATGGTAATTTCATCATATTAACTCAATCGATACATCATAGAAAAAACTATCATAACATCCTGTACACATCCCCTAAAACCCACTGTCATACTCATGGCAACTTATCCCAGAAATCCCAGAATCACACATCACGGCATCACTGCACAACAATTAATTTCGCGAACTCTGCTACGTTCGCTGGCTCACTCGCTAGGCGAGTCTCGTAGCAAACCCCTCACTGGCTTGCTCGCTAGGCGAGCCTCTAGCGAATCCCCGTTGGCTTGCTCGCTAGGCGAGTCTTGTAGCGAACCTTCGCTGGCTTGCTCGCTAGGCGAACAGTGCGATGATAGCAACTTCTACTACGCACCAGAACTGATTTCCACCCAAAAACTCATACGATTCACACATCTCATGCCCCCAAAACATTCCTAAATCATCCTTAAGGTCATACGGCGGTAAAGGTACAAAATCTATGGTTCATTAGGCTAATCCGACAATATTTGCACTGCCTAAAATACTATTTTCCTGCAATTGCTCTGAGTGCATCAGAGTTACTCACATTTGAATATTCCTATTCCTACAGGGTCAAACATATCACAATCCAAGGTTTTCGCCACGAAGGCCTAAGGTTTCCAAACTCATGTTACACATCAAACAGTCTGATAAGGTTTCCTAAATTCATGTCAATATTCAGGGATACATGTCATCAATCATAACCTCAAAGTCTATTAATCAATTTCCCTAATTCTCCTAAATCAACCCAACATACCCTAAACCATAAACCCCACCATAAACACACCGAAAGGCGTACAGAGAAAATCATGAAATGCGATACTCCTCATACCTTAGTCGATTCGCAGCTTTCACGATTAACTTCGGGATCTTCTGCCTCCAACCTTTCCTTCAGAGCTCTGGCCACCAAACTTTCACGGCTAATACAAAATGAATTCAAATTCCCTTTCAGAACTCTATTTTGTCCAACCTAGTCTTGGGGCTCACAAATTGGGCTTTTCCCTTATTACCCTTACTAACTTTCTTAAATGCCCAAATTGCCCTTATTTCACTTATATTCCATTTAATTAATAATAATACTAATAAATTAATATTATATGCTATTAATCAAATAAATACCCGAAAATGCACATCTTTCCAATATTCACAAAACCACTGGAAATTCAGCGAAACATGAATATTCTCAATTAAATAATTAATTCAAATATCATGATTAAATTCGGGGTGTTACACGTGAGATGATTGCGGTTAGGACCACAAGACCATGAGTAGATGATAACTTATTTGATGGTTCACAACGTCAAGGTCCACAACCCTCTAGTTCTACTTCTCGTAGTTTCCTGTCTCAGGCCTCTACTTCACGGGACCATGTGCCCCAAATGATGAAGCACCTAAAAGCCAGGAGGAATTCATTGTTCATTCCCCTGTAGAGAGTTATCCAGAAGGCCCATTTGACACCTCTTTATTTCATCTCTATGGAAACCATGTTGCTAGGCATATCTGGGAAAGAGAGGTATATTTATTTACTTTTTCATTACATATGTTTTAAACTAATTAAATCACAACTGATGATTATATTTTTTTTACATGAGCGTTCATGTTTAAAATCGATAAACTATGGAAAGAAGATATTGGATTTAGAATAGCCCAACGCTAATTGGTTCTGGAATGCTATCTATTATTCTGGTCTTTTTGGTTTATGTGATATTGCGTACATGACCATAAACTATGGCATGCATGCATCATTTGCAGAGAGATGGCATTCAGAGACATCATCTTTTCGCCTTCCTAATGGCGAGATGACCATCACCTTGGATGACATCTCATGCCTCCTGAATCTTCTCATCAGGGAAAAATTACCGGACCACGGAAGGCTCGATCGATAGGAAACCAACAAGATGTTGGTTACATATTTGGGAGTTGACCCAACTGAGACCGCAAATGAGGTAGCTGACATTAGAGGTGCTCGTGCTAGATTTAAATTCTTAAAATAAATGTATAAAGACCACCTGCAGATGGTTGTGGATGTCGGCGATGATATGCATATTGAGTACCATCGACAGTGTGCATTGAGGTATTACCTCTTGTTTCTGATTGGCATGTTCACTTTTATGGACAATAGTACAACCTAGCCGATGTGGTCTATCTTAAATACTTCATCGACTTTACAACGATTCATGAGTACAATTGGAGGGATGTCTGTTTGGTCTACCTGCTCTCAAAATTAGGCTAGGGTTATCTTTGAAAGACAAAGCAAATGACAGGAAGTTGCACGTTCTTTACGGTAACTTACTATTAATAATATTTTTATAATAATTTTGTTACACTTGTTATTAATATTTTATCTAAATCACTTTCAGG